TCTCAAATAAATAAATAAATAAAATCTTTAAAAAAAAAAAAAAAGAAATTTGGCAAATTTTACATACTGATTTTAGATTTTATTAAGTCACACATATCCAGAGGAAGCCTAGTGGTAGGTTTCTGTTTTCAGGAATATTTTAAATGTGGCACTGTACTCACTGGAAGATGGTGAGGAGGTTTTGAAGATGTCAAGGAGGAAAAAGTGTTTGCTGGAAAAACTAGTAAATTTTGAACTAATATGTATTTTATTTTCTAAAGCTTTAATGAGGTTACTAAACAACAATACAAACCGTAAAACATTTTCAGGAATGGTAGCTAGAAATATAATGAGAATGATTATGAAGTGAAAGTTTAAAAACTTCTGGGCTATTTATTTAGAACAATAGACTGATCAGTTAAAATTATTTACTTGGTTGTCCTTTGCTCCCTCCAAGGAAACTCTTTTCAGTAGCTGGATTCCATTCTTAAGGCTTGAATATTTGGCATTTCATTAAATTTATAGTCATTATTGATGAGTGTTTAAATGTTGTCTATTATGTGTTTCTATATTCATAATTACTGAAGCAGGGTATGCATTCTTGTTTTTTCCTTTTTCTTCTTTCTGTTATATTCTATCCCCACCATAGTCCGAACTGTGATGTCGAGCACATTGTGATTCAGAAAATGCTTAACTTATATCTTTAGCCAGTCAGAACTATGATTTGTTGTTTTAATCTTAAAAGAGAAACTGTTTTGTAATCAAAAGAACATTGTGAAGTTACAATGTTTTTGCTAAACAGATAGGAGATAAAAGATTGATGCTGTTAAAAGGAGGAAAGAATAAAGAATAAATCTTGGAAATGCAATATGTAGAATCAATTCATCAAATAAGTTTATTATTACTTTGACCAGAAGACTTTCTCCCCTCTAAGAATAAGATTATTCACAGGAGAAGAAATTGATTGACTCTCTATACTCTGTCTGGTAGAAGAAGAGGTGGTATATGTGATGTGATCCTGTCATATTTGAATTCATTTACTTAGCAAAAATCAAGGATATAAAATAATCATTTTATATATTCTTACGAAGAATGTAAAAGAACCAATTAATTGATATTTTCACTAGATGTTTACTTTTTGATGCAGGCAGTTTCTTCTATCTAACATAGGTCTAATGTAATGTTTATTTTATTTTTGCTTTTCACTGGAAGCTCTCCTGGCTGTTATTATCAAAGACATTTAAAAAGTTAGAAGTTAATTTGAGATACTTTGAAGGAAATGTTAACATTATTTTGTGATAGAATGTAAAAATATTTTGTTTATCACATTTAATGAAATACAACTATTCATGATGAGAATTTACTTTTGAATAATGGAGGCAGGAAAAAAAGTAGTAAACACCTTCCCTAAAACTTATTGTGGTGGGTTTTTTTGTGCTTATGGTGACGTTCCCACTGGTTAAGCTAACTCAAAGCATTTGATGAAAATGTTAGCTCTGTTTTTTGAAATAAATTTATGTATCAACTCATTTGTAGGAATAGTTGGGTGAAACTTAGTTTTTGGAGCTCTTGTTGTGCTCTTTATCTGAGACATCTTCAAAAAAGTTATTTGAGTGGAAAAATATGAAAAAAATAACAGGAGTCTCCCACCAGCCAGAATGGATATGTTCATGTTTTTGCTCTTGGGTATAACACTTCTAAGAATATAATTAGCTTTGCTTTTCATTTTCTACTTTTTTCTCCACAGCCTCATGATTTTGATGAGTGCCGATTTGATATTAGTGTAAATGATAGCGTTTGGTATCTTCGTGCTCAGGATCCAGATCACAGACAGCAGTGGATAGATGCCATCGAACAGCACAAGGTAGGGGCTCCAGTGTCTACCTGTCCATGGAGGGTTAGGCAAGAGATTGACAGTAACTCCTTTAAAAAGTTTTGAGATGTAGGGGCGCCTGGGAGGCTCAGTCCTTAAGCATCTGCCTTCGGCTCAGGTCATGATCCCAGGGTCCTGGGATCGAGCCCCACAGCGGGCTCCTTGCTCAGCAGGAAGCCTGCTTCTCCCTCTCCCTCCCTCTGCTTGTGTTCCTGCTCTTGCTCTCTCTCCCGCTCTCAAATAAATAAATTCTTTTTAAAAAAAAGGTTTTGAGATGTAATATGTGTTATTAAAAAGCTGAACATTGGGGCGCCTGGGTGGCTCAGTCGGTTAAGTGTCTGCCTTCGGCTCAGGTCATGATCCCAGGGTCCTGGGATCAAGTCCTGTATCGGGCTCCTTGCTCAGTGGGGAGCCTGCTTCTCCCTTTCCCTCTGCCTTGCTGCTCTATTGTGCTCTCTCTTTCTCTGTCAGATAAATAAATAAAATCTTAAAAAAAAAAAAAAGTTGAACATTATTTGGGTGGTAAAGATTAAAGCAGTCCAGATATAAATTTTTGAAATAATTTTTTTCTAACACTTCAGTTGCTCTATGGGAGTTTGTTATGACAAATATTTTTAATTGGTTTTTTTTTTGAAGATCTAATTGGCTTTATTAAACGATTCATGAGTTGGGCGGCACTCCATCTAGCAAGTTGAGAGGCACACCAACAAATGTTCTTCATTGTTAATTAAAACAAAATATACCCTTTTTTTAATAAAACAAATCTTGATTTTTATACTTAGGATTTGCTTCATAGTGAATGCCTTTTGTATGATCTGGATAAAAGGTTTTGAAATAATATTGGATGTATAACCCTAATATTTAGAAGCTTCAGTGTTAATTTTTGTAATTATGCATGCATTGTTATATTGATAATTCAAAATTAATACCAAATTGTTAAAGCATGATGATAGCCATTTGGGTAATTTCATAGTGTAAACATTTGTAAATCATTTAATTTTTTCAAATAGGGAGCTGTTTAATAATAAACCTTTAGCAAGTATTTCCTTTGTAAATGTATAAGCCACATTCTTGTTATTTGAAGTGTGAATAAGGGGCACCTGGGTGTCTCAGTCAGTTAAGCATCTGCCTTCAGCTCAGGTCATGATCTCAACTCAAGTCCTGGGATGGAGCCCTGTATGGGCTCCTTCCCTGATCAGCGAGGAGCCTACTTCTCCCTTTCCCTCTGTCCCCCTCCCCCGTGCTCTCTCTTTCTCTCTCTCTCTGCCTCTCTCAAAAGAATAAATGTTTAACAAAAAAAGTGAATAAGTGCTATGTAGACTAAAGAAACGTGTGATATCAAATCTGCATTATTAGCTATTTTAGTTTATTATGATAAAACAAGGAATAGAGAAAGGGTAAATTCATGATGCCATTCCTGAGTGTGACTTAAAAGAACTTTGTACTTATTCATATGCTTGTCTGTACTTGTTTGGGTTTCACAGTTGTAGTTGAAACACCTGTTTTGGTCATTTAACAGGTGCAAAACATGTACCCACACAACACACACACTAAAACAAGAAAAACCTGTCTTTGAGGTATCACAGGTATACTCATTTTGATACTGATCATGCATTAGCTTTTATTTCTTGATTATTGATTATGAATTTTTCCTGGCATAAAGAAAACTGGCTGTAATGCCCATTTTTTCCCCTCTGTTTTAGCTTTAATATTATACTGATTTAAAATTCTGTTAATGTTGGGGCACCTGGCTGGCTCGGTCACAAGAACATGCGACTCTGGATTTCAAGGTTGTGCGTTCAAGCCCCATGTTGGGTGTAGAAATTACTTAAAATAAGATCTTAAAATTTTGTGAATGTTAGTTATCTTTATTACTTCAGAAAAGAGTCTAAAAATGGGAAGCAGTTTTCTTTTATGTAAAAGAGATGAGCTAGAATTCCAGATTCTGAATGCTTTGGATCTAGGCTGACCTTAATTCAGACACTACATCCTCTGCTGTGTACCATATGCGACTTTGGGTGTATGGTAATTTACCTCTTCTTGGTGTGTATAAGGAATACATGAGGTAATAGATGTAAGGTTACTTACCACAGTGGCTGATATATTTTCTCATTTATGACAGTAGAAAAAGAAAGGGCTTTGGAGTGACAATTAAATTTACTAAATTATACCTGTTGTTTTTGGATGAAGAATTCTGCATTCAGTGAGAGTTACTAATGTGCACGTAAAGAGACAGTATTGTGTATTTAATCAGGGCCAGCCCTCTTACTAATGATTAAAGATGTTATTAAGTAGAACTAATTTTTATATTTTTAACTTATGACTTAAAGGCTTAATCAGCTAATATAGATTACAGGGCTGGTTTTTCTGTTTTAATTAAGCATATTTTATTTTGCTTGTTTTGCTTAGTAAAGCCAAACCAGAATTCTCTGCAAGTTCCCATTTTGTATTTTCTCCTTGAGTGAAGAAGGATGCATAAAGCATATTATTTCTTCCCTATCATTGATTTCTTTGCATCTTTGAACAATGGATAGGTATAATCTTTGGGTCTCAGGGGCATCTGGGTGGGTTAGTCAGTTAAGCAGCTGACTTTTGGTTTTGGCTTAGGTCATGATCTCAGGGTCCTGGGATCAAGCCCCGTTCAGTGGGAAGTCTGCTTGAGAATTTTCTCTCTCCCTCTCCCCCCATGCACATGCGCACTCCCTCCCTCTCTCTCTCAGATAAATAAATCTTTTAAAAAAAATAATAATAGTAATAATCTTTGGGTCCAGAGCAGTGTGACTTAAACTGAGATAACAGATTTTGGGTGAATTTAAGTTCTTAGAAAAAGGTTCAAAAAAAAAAAAGATTCAACAGCAGGATTTCAGATACATCATACAGACTTTTCCTTTCTAATTTCTACAAATAGTTGATTAATAGACAGTGAAGGAGATATGTTAATTGTTATTAAGTTATTTAATTGTAATATAAATTATGTGATATGTGCCAACTAAGCAACATATCAATGAATATTTAAATTGAATATGAATTCCAAAAGTAAATTGCCTGAGTTACTAAACTAATTCTTAGGAGGGAGAAAATTCAAATGCAATCACTATACATATTCAACAAAGTTTTTTTCCCCATACACCAGGAAGGGAGGTAGTGTAGTGAGGAAATGTTTCCTAATTCATTCTTCAGTATCACTAAAGAATATTGAATGTGGAACCTAAATTTAGTAATTTTACTATTATGCATGCATTGTTATATTGATAATTCAAAATTAATACCAAATTGTTAAAGCATGATGATGATGATTATGATGATAACGACGACGATAAGAGCTCCTACTTATCACCCAAGTACTAATCATTGCATTATGTACTTCATGTGTTTATTTTCTCCCTACTCTCCTGAGAGGTGAGGGAAGTGCTGTTTTATAGTTTTATAGTAGAGGAAACGAGGTTTAGATTAAATTTAAGTAACATGCCTGAGATTCTACTACCTTTTAGTTCATGGATTCTTTGGATTCAATTTTATGTTGATTCTGCTTTCTATCAGTTCCACTGGGAGATTCTGAATATTTGGAGGGGCAACTTGGTGGTTCATTCAGTTAAGCATCCAACTCTTTATTTCAACTCAGGTCTTGATCTCAGGATCGTGAGTTCAAGCCCTGCACTGGGCTCCAAGCTGGATGTGGAGCCTACTTAACAAAAAAAAAAAGACAAGTGAATATTTGGAAATAGTTCCCATAAGCTTACCTCCTTTAGATTGTATCATTTGAGTTCTGCCATATATGTGAAAGACAAATAGGAACTCATCTTTCTGCCCATGGACTGTCAAAAAGGGCATTATATTGTTTTGGTTAGTGTTGGAGTGGTGGATTCTGAGGTCTGATAAATATGGGAATGAATCCTGGCACTACTGCTTATACTTCTTAATAGCTGGGTGACCTTGTTCAGTCACTTAGAGGAGGAAAGATGACAGTATGCTGTTTGTGTGCCTTCCCCCTCACACCACCCTCACCACCCCCACAAAAACAGAAAAACAAAGCAAGCAAAGTAACTCAACCAAATTTGTACTTCAAAGTTGATGAGTTCCCGTCCTTCCAGCTCATACAGTTCTATTTACACTTACTTCCTCATTACACCACCTGCCCTTACAGTGACACAAGACACTTGGAACAGTGGGCCTTTTTCTCTTCTGATGTCATCAGGTGGGCCTTCATTCCTTTTCTTGTTCTTAAGCCTTTGTTAGGGCTTCCCTGACAGGTTTTAGTAATTTTTAGTATCTGGAAGAAGTTGGAGGTTTCTGTTCTTTCCCTCCCAGGTGGCCCTTTTACTCATTCTAATAACTGTGTATCAATCTGTTTAACACACACTCGTATACACCAAAAGTTCTATCTTATAGGACTTCTTTAATAATAATAATGTGGTGGTGGTGGTGATAATGGCTAACATTTTTGAGGATTAATGTACGTCAGATATGGTGATAAACATACTTTATCTCCATTTACTCTCACAGTCTTATAAGATTAACATTATTATCCTATTTTTATAGATGAAGAAATTGAGACAGAAGTTAAGTAATTTGTCCAAGGTCAAATTGCTAATTAGTTAAAGGAGCCAGCATTCAGACCCAGGTCTGTCTGACCTGAGAACCAGAGCTTTTGGCCAACAAGCGCTTCTGCCATCCTATAAGTATGTATTTATGTGAAATATATTTTGTTGACTTAAACCGTCAGACTTCTTGAATCACAATATTCCCATAGTTTTTATAGTTCTTCGTATCTCTAGTGTTTATTTTAGACCATAAGCTCCTTAAAGACTCAGATACACAACTTTGTAGGAATCAGCAAAGCATTGGACACATAAATTTTCCAGTTGAAATAATTTACAGTATTTTGTAAAACAGATTTTATGGAAGAAATTTATGATATTTGAAGTTTTTGTTTTTCCTTTAATCTTCATGTTTGCTGTTAGAATGATTTCTGACAGAAATATAGCAGGTTC